CGACATTGAGCAGGGTGTCCCACAAGGTAGCACGCTGTCCCCAACATTGTTCCAGGTATTCATCGACGATCTGTTGGAAGTCGTAGAGGCAGTCCGGAAGAGAGAAAAAGTAGGGGACACGGAAACTTCGATGTCATCAATGCTGTTTGCGGATGATTTTGTCGGTATGTCGGACACTCCTGAGGGACTGCAACTGCAAATTGACGCGGCGAAGAAGTTTACTGATAAGTGGAGATTGTCTGCCAACGTTCAGAAGAGTGCCGTCATGGTATGCAACGAGAACAAGGAGGAACCAGTAGAACATAGATGGAAGTGGGGGATCGAGGAGATTGCAGTAGTGGACCAGTACACATACCTCGGAGTAGAGATCGCAAAAGACTGCTTGTGGAATGCACACATGTCGACGGTAGCGGAAAAGGGCAAAGCACGAGCAGGGAAGCTGCACCCACTACTCGCTAACCGGCACCTCCATACACGCATCAAATTGACGGCTTTGAAGAGCGTAATCGTACCGCCGCTAGAGTACGCCGGAGAAGTATGGGAAGGAAATAAGAAGGTAGTGAAAGAACTCGAGGCGGCGCAGATGAAAGCAGCGAAAACCATCCTAGGATGCTCCAGGCGCACAAGTAATGCAGCCGTGAGGGCAGAATTGGGGATCCAATCCCTACGGTCGGGAAGAGACGCGAGGAAGCTGACCTGGCAGTATCGCATGTGCGGGATGGGAGAGGAGAGGTTGCCGAGAATTGTATGGGAGGCGAAGTGGGCAAACAAAAAGAGGGGTAGACAACCCACGGAATGGGTCAAGGTTGTAGAGGACGTATGGAAGGGGCTCGACATCGACGAAGATGAAACGCCGGAAAAGGAGGGTCTACAGGGGTTCAAGGAGAAGATATATGTTGCTTGTGCCGAGANACGGTGCAGATGAATGCAGCGAAAATCATCCTAGGATGCTCCAAGCGCACAAGTGATGCAGCCGTGAGGGCAGAATTGGGGATCCAATCCCTACGGTCGGGAAGAGACGCGAGGAAGCTGACCTGGCAGTATCGCATGTGCGGGATGGGAGAGGAGAGGTTGCCGAGGATTGTATGGGAGGCGAAGTGGGCAAACAAAAAGAGGGGTAGACAACCCACGGAATGGGTCAAGGTTGTAGAGGACGTATGGAAGGGGCTCGACATCGACGAAGATGAAACGCTGGAAACGGAGGGTCTACAGGGGTTCAAGGAGAAGATATCTGTTGCTTGTGCCGAGAGAGAAGAACAGAATCTGAGGAAAGAATCCAAGGATAAGGAGGGTCTAGAAGTGTACGGAATGTTGAAGGAAGGAATAGGGTTCAAGGACTACCTACATGGACCAATGGATGCAGGAACAAAGCTTAAGGTCAAATTCAGGACCGGGGACATAGGCCTTCGAGAACGTCGACGAAGACATAGGACGGTAGACGAGGAAGACGACGAGTTCAAATGTGATTGCGACTTCGAATGCGACGACCGTGTTCATGTAGTCGCGGAATGTCCGTTGTACAAGAAGGAGAGGGAAGTGTACGTGACTGAGCTGGGAAAAATAGATGGAACGTACAGGGAGATGTTTGAGGCATGGAATAGAGAGGAAAGGACGGTAGCTGTACTGGGGCATAGGAGGTGGGTTGAAAAGGCGGGAAGGGATATCGTTAGGATAGACAGACTAGGGAAGACATTTTTGAGCCACCTTTGGCAAAGTAGAAAGGAACGATTGGCCATCGGTGATCGGTCCTGTGGGAACAATGCTCCGTCCTCTCGAGGACGCGTGGTCATTGGTCTAACCGCTAAGGCATGAAAAAAATAAGGGTACGCCCCCCCCCCCGGTGTTTGCCATCGGGGTTGGGTGTTCGTCGCCTGGCAACGACGTTGTAAAACAAGCCAATTCACTTCGTGAACTCGGCAACCAGGTTACCGTTTTTTTTTTTTACCTCCGTTTTTTTTTTTGGCGGTAACCATAATGGTGGTCGAGTAGATCATGTTGTGCGGGGTGGAGAACCCTCACTCCGCGCAAGGGGGATGATCGCACCACGTTGTGTTAAAATGGTCAAGCACCCTCGAGGCAGTTACACAGTGCTTACAACTGTCTCTGGAAGTGAAAGCACCAGAAAATAAATTAAGTCATACGCAGCTGTCATCCGTACGCAAGGAAGTAAGCACAAGATGCCGAACACCCTTAGCAGGATGCAGCGCACCCTTCATGCGACTCGCCGAATACCTCACGGCGCTTCGCGCTTGGTGATGTGAGAGCCTGGTCCGGTGAGAACCCGGCATGCTCCGTCCCGGCTTTGTAGGGATGCGAGTTCACCCTCCCCCCTGGCACTGCACCATTGCACCAACCCAGATGACGTGCATTTGCTGGCTCGGGTGGCCCGCATTGTGTTGTTTTTTGTTGGCTTGTGTTGCTCTGTTTGTTTGTTGTTTGGCGCTACGTGTGTCCTTCTCTGCATGTATATCTCTCTTTCTCTTTCCCTTTTCGCTCCATTTGCTCTCTCCTTTGTCTTTTCCCATCCTTTTCTAGCCTAGGGCTACCTCGCATAGCGTGTAGAGGCGAGCGGAGTGTCCTAGACTTTCTGTCGTTGATTTCAATTGACGTGCGGACCCTTAGGGACCATTTTTGTACCTTTTTTGAGTAAGTTAGCCTGTGACCACGGGCATCTACCCCGTCAAGTGTTAGACTAGTACGGACATAAGGACGTTACAGGGCAAGGAGAACGGGACGGTTTTTGATGTGAAGACAACAACAACAACAACAACAACAACAACAACACTGCTGCTTCGAAGAACAGCAAAAAGCCAGCTACCGCACCATGTGGTCTTTTTCTCCCTGTGGTAGACTGTACATGCTGCTGCTGTAGATCCTGAATAGCGGGAAGATATATGTATGCCTTATCTGCATCACGTCCGTCGTCGTCACTTGGAGTACGTTGTGTAATTCCTGCGATATCGTTGGAGTACTGCTGTATGTACATATGTAAACTGGTATCACTGATATAAATCATCAGTGTATAGGCTTAAACAAACTCGAAATAAGTCAAGTACCCAGCTGGTTTTCCTCTACTCACTGTAAAGACTTCAACACATCCCCTTCGAGTGTAGTTATACCTCGAACGGGTAGTCTTTCTGTGTGTATATTTGTTTCTCCTAATATGCAAGAGTAGTCTAAAGCCCGACGACTGCGGCGGTTGCCCCGAAATAATCGATAGCCTGCGTGGTCAACGCATTTTGGTTCCCCGAATTTTTCTGGGTACTGTAGTACACACGCTCGCTCACATGGTCATCCCAACCTTCAGGAGGTTTAGACGCAAACGGTACCGCACGTTCGGAAGACATGCGTCCGTCCACAGGTGTCCAAGGAGCTTCACGCGTTGGCAAATCAATCCTCAGGGAAACAGTCCCAGACGACCGGCGAGATGGTCGACAACACTGACCCGTTCGCAGCTGCAGCAACGTCTTCTGCACGAGTGTTATCGTACATCCAAGGCCTGAAAGCGAGAGCTCCAAGAAACCCACAAGGCTCGCAGCATGAACACGGGCGACACTGCGCCGTTACGTTATGACGGCATGCGTATCTCGTGTGTTGGATTCTCCGCCAATAAAGATCTTCGAGATCTACGCAGATCTGCGGAAGAAGTGGTGCGCAGGATCTGTAGTAGATTTCTCAGTTCGTGGGTTCTCGGAATGGTCCTCGGGAAGAATGAATGCGCCGCGTTGTTGCAAAGAAGACGATCGCACCATCCACCAACAGGTTGTCGCTTCCCTTCATCCCTTTGTCCGCCCCATTCCCCCTTATCTGCCCGCCGCGTATACCCGAGGCGCGCGCCGGAAGACAACTTGACACCGAACATGGCGACGGCGACACGGGAGGAAAGTGATGAAGAATTCAATCCTTTCCTGAGTCCCGAAGCGCCTCCTCTGAGTAACCCAGTGGTCGCGGCGACGGCTCTGCCGCCAAGAAGCAACGGCGGCAGCGGCGGCGGCCCGGCCGCAGGCGGTGCTGCTGCTGGCGCCTCTTCAAGGCGAAGAGGATCGTCACGGACAAGCACGGGAGCCGGCGGCGGCGGCGGCGGCGGCAACCCTTTCGCCCCCTCGGAGACAGCAGCAGCGCAGGTAGGCCTACGTATATTTTGTTCCAGACCAAAAACTTCAGGATTTATCCCGGAGCAGGGACGCGCTTGCACACAACTCGCTCGAAGGTGTTATCTGCTTGGATGCTGTTGCCTGCCCCAGTTTCCCGCCCGTGTCTCGATATCGATGGAAGAGTCGAGAGGAGGCCGAGGGCGTCGGGGTTGGCGGGGATCCTGCGCTGCAGCTAGCGCGTCGGTTCGGCATATGTTGTCGGCGCCCTGGTCCTGCTGTCCATCACACATCACCGCTGCGACACACCGAGAAAAGGTCATCAAGCAGCGGCCAGGTGGCTTGTTCAACTTGCTGCTGCTGGTCATCTGTTCGCCTTTCTGTGACCCAGTTCGCATTTCAATGGGAGTACCCTCTTCTAAATGCCCCCTCCAACGCTTCACATTGTGTCTTTCGATACGCTAAGCCTAGCCTGCGGAAATTTTCAGCAGTTTGAACATACACACGTGTATGTATGCACACCAAGACAGCACAGAAGAATTAGCCGCTCTCGAACCCACAATCGATACACGAACTACGAAAAGAGGGTTGTGCCACAAAGAGCACACAGCAGCGCTTTCTCGGCTTTAGCTCAGCCCCTCAGTGAACGCTCGTACATGTATACCAGATATACGAAACTTGACCGAACGTCTTGTGTTGAAAAGAGTGGGAAAAAAGCGTGTCGGTCTGCGGTGTGCGGTATTTCGCTGAAAAATGTGGGTTGCCGTTTGGCCGCGTGGGTGCTCTGATCACCTGCACGTTCCGCGCTGCACATGCACCTTCTTTCACGGCCAAACTCGTGTGTGTGTTCACGGCATGGTATTCTTGTGTTGCCATTCGAAGCTGGAAGGTGCAACCATTTTTCGCACCAGTCATACGCATAGTCAGTGGAAGGCAGTCAGTCTACAACAGACCATCCCATCCTTCGCTCGGTTCGGTGAGAACCCGGCGTGCTCCGTCCCGGCTTTGTAGGGATGCGAGGTCAATGGTCTAACGACTACGGCATGCACGACTATGAGTACACCCATCCTTCGCTCGTGCACACCGAGCACTTGGCGTGGTATTGATGACTCCTCGTTATGCCGGTCGTGACTATGATGCAAGTACAGCAGTTGTGTAGGCATCATAACCGCTGCGTTCCTTCATGTGGGCCTCAACACTCTTGCTCTCTCTCTCTCTCTGGGAATACAAACTGTCGATCGGCGGCTGCAAAGATATCGGGGGATCATCCTACACTACTGCTGTGGCGCGCCACCTCCCTTCAGCCAGGCGCCGTCCGCTACAGCAACATGCTTTGCCTTCGCCATGCATATATCCCCCGAAAGCAAACATGAACCACCGCGAAAAGATGCTGTTGTTTTTCTCCCGCATGCCTCACTACAGTCGGGCCAGGGGCCCCATGCCCACAGACACGGACGATGCTGAATCATTCGGTATGTGCGGACGTGCGTGTTATCTTCTCCGCCGTACAGGGACAACCAGAAAACAGGACCCCGTCCGCCCGGACAACAGGAACGTCCCCTTCCCCCAACGCCCGTCCAGCACCTTCCGCTTCCAGTGCCACCACCACCAGCGCCACCGCCACGTGCGGCAGCAGTAGCCGCAGGAGCGGTGGCACCAGCTCAACCCCAGCGGGGACGCAGCACCGCTCGGGCCAAACCCCGGCGGCGCCCAGGCCCCGGCGGGGAGGGTCCCCCCCCTCTCGCAACGCCAACGGCGGCGGCGCCCCCGCGTCGTCGTCATCTTCAACTCCATCAGCACCGACAGCAGCGACAGGAGCCGCACGCTCGACACACCGCCGGAGCGGAACAAGTGCCGGCGGCAGCGGCAGCAGCAGCAGCAGCAGCAGCAGCAGAGCGACCACCGCAAGCCCGTCTCCTGCGCCGACCCCGCCGGCCCAGCCGGCCCAGCCGGCTGCTGCTACTGCCGCTGCCGCCGGCACTTGTTCCGCCACCAATGCCGCCACTACCCCAGCAGGAACGTCGGCAACGTCTAGCGCCAACGCCTCCCCCAACCGCCGGCGCGGGGGCTCTTGGAACTGGGGGAACCTGGGGCGATCGCTCATTGGGGCCGTGCTAGGCCCCGGGGCGGTTGGAAGGGAGGATGGAGGAGGGGGCGGCGACCGGGCGTCGGTGGCGGGGGCGCGGAGGGGGAGGTTCCGCGAGCTCACCCCGCACGAGATGCACCAGACCCCGGAGGGGAAGTTCAGCGTTTCCGTATGGAGGAAGAACAAACAGGTGTGTGGTGTGTGTCGTAAGCTTGGAGTGTGTTAGGTCATGCGTGCGTGTCTGCAAGTGCATTTGTGTGTCAGGCAAGAGGGACTAGTCTGGAGGCGCGCGTGTGGGTTTGAGTACGTGCTTACGGGTGTGCACGCATTCGTCTGTGCGGCGACGGAAGCAAGAAGGACGCTTGCGGCTGTGATTGAAAGACATCATAAATTTGTACCTGGTATTCTTTTGACGGCAGCATGCATATAGACCTGTCTCCCGGTATATGGCCGATGAAATGGCGGGACAGAATAGTGCCGTGTGCCCGGCACAAGGCTGGGAAAATCCCATGGCACTGGTGAATGCGACCTGAGACCGTTACACTGTACTGGCTGGGTTTGGGACTGCATATTCGTGCTCGAATGGTAGCCTCTTTCAGAAAGAGCGGAGTTGCTAGCATTTGCGGGAGATCGCTCTAGCTCCATTTGTAGCTAGATAACTGCTAGGCGGTGGCCTGAAGCCATACGTTCGGATGACGATGAAGACCGCGGACGAAAGCTTGTGGTGCGCCTCTCCATGATCTTTGGCGTGACGTGCTTTCTTGGAAACATGTGCTACTGAAAACAAACAATCAGGATGCGGAGCCCGTGGAGGTGTCGGTGGGAGTGTACGACACCGCGTATGAGGGGCAGAGGGCCGCAGAATCGTTTTCTCCACCGCTCTGGCAGGAGCCCGGGAAAGATTCGAGGTTGGTTCGTTTCGTAGGTAAAATTTTCTTCAAAATTGGACGCGTGTAAATATGCATTCGTTAAAAAAGAAAACATGAATATTCTGTGGGGAAAAAGTGTGATCAAGGTGAGATTCGAACTCACGCTCTTTCGAACTAGTGCCTTAAACTAGCGCCTTAGACCGCTCGGCCACTTGACCCCGAGTTCCATCAAGGGACCCATGTTGACTCTCGGTGATTATTGCCTATCTAAAAACTCCTGAGGTAATGCTCATGTTCGGATTGAACACAACATGGGAGGTATTCGCCTTTTCGGATTTTTGCGCATCCCACTTCGTACGCCGGCAGTGCTTTGCTGGTGTTCGTTGTGGCTGCTAGTGTATCATGTAGCCAGGCAGTCAGAGGAGAAGGTTTGGGGTGTAAAGATGTATCGTGATTTGCACGTTTGGGTAGCACTTACCATCGTTGTCTCCAGGCTCCAGGTCTGCCTTGTCAAATAGCTTGCTTCTGTTACTGGAACAATAATGGATGGAAATGTGGTCGCCAAATGTTGTTTAGCGTGTCAAAGAAAGGTCGATACCGAGCATGATCTTTTTTTCTTGATGATGCGGATGTTCATGACGGAATGCAAATCAAGTGTGCCCGGCGGCGACAGCCCAAGAGGCGGCGCAATCGCACCGTTGAAGCTCGAGAACCTTGTCTTCGTTGTTGGACCTTTCTGTCCCCCCTGGTGTTGGCGGTTTCCTTAGGCCTGCCGACGCCACCCCCCCCTTGATATATGCTTCTATGCGTCGAAGTATTATTTTTGCCTGCCTTGTCAACCATGGTGGGTCAATCGGTTCATGAAGCTTTTTCATTGCTCCTCCCGCCATCACTGCCCTCGCCAGATGCGCGGTGTGCGACTCTACGTTCGGGTACGTGCTCAAGAGGAGGCACCACTGCCGCAACTGCGGCCGCCTGGTGTGCTCCGCGTGCGCCGAGAGGTTCTGGCCGCGGAGCATGCTTCCGCCGACGTACAACGTAGACACGTGAGCCTCGTCTTCCATCGTGCGTCTACATGTAGCTAGTGTACGTGGTGTCTGCTTTTTTTGTTTCGAGTGTGGGGAGAAAAAGGTGTCCCTGGTTTGGAAGGATAAAGTCGGCAGTGTGGCATCAGCACGTCTGTTCGTTGGTGTAGCGCTATTTTGACCATTTTATTTCTCGCTCTCTTGTCACTCGAGTCTTGCTTTCTTTGCGTCATTGTCCCTCTCTCTCTCTCACTCCTTGACTCTGCCCCCCCCTATCCCATCTCTCCGTCTCGCTCCCTCTGTTTCTTTTTTTTTTTCTCCTCGTCTCTCCGCTACGGCCCCGAAAATCCACCCCAAACGGCAACAATTGCACTGCCTCGCTGGAGAGCAGAAGCGAAAAGAAGGTGCGAGTGTGCAGCACCTGCTACGTCGCCGGGGAGGACTTCAGGAAGGCGTGTTTGTCAGGGTCGGAGGAAGGGGCCATGGCGGCGTTCAGCACCGGCTGCGTTAACCTTCGAGTGCCGTACACGATCTACCACAACGAGGTACGCATGCTCCCATGCACATTTGTGGCTGATGCTGGTGCACTTTGGAGGGTGAAATTGCGAAACCGTGTGGTCCTGTTTTGGTGATCTCATGGCAACATAGGACGCGGCAAACGGGCTTATGCCTCCCTAGCCAAAAGTGTGAGATGAGGTGAGATGACCTCCCTACCGTAGCGTGAGGTCTTGTGGTTTGTTCTCGAGACCTCGTACGGCCGTAGAATCTTCGACATCTTCTTGTATATACCCAGCGTTCTTTGGGGGAGACCCGGCTCCTTGAAAGTCGCTCAAGTCGTGTACGACGAGCATGGTACACCGGTGCGTGGTTCCTTGGGCTTTTCGCGTCTCTCTGTGCGCAGCAGTCAGTCTCAAGACACGTTCTGTCGCTGCCCGTCTCCCGGCCGTTGCAAAGGCGCGAGGCCGACAAGTAAGGTCCTCGTTGCAGCCGACGCGAGTGTTGCAATGTATTTCCACGGTGTCTCAGTTTGTAGGCTCTTCCTCCACTACAAACCCATCCAGCGGTTCTCTGCTTCTCCCGAGATTTCTAATCGGTAGACCCGCACGAGGAGGATCGAGGCAAAGCCGAAAGTCAGGAAGCTGTCCCCAACAACACTCTTTCGGCAATTGTACCCGCTGCTCCCGTTCGTGGCCTTGTCCAGCTGCCTGTTCATTGCGCCGCCTCCGGTGGTAACCTGAACATCCTGGCCTGGCTTGTGGATGACCGATGCTGCCCTCTCTTCCTCGACCGTGAGAAGAAGGTAAGTCGTGGTTGATGTTGTTGTTGTTGATGTTGTAGTTGTTGATGTTGATGTTGATGTTAATGTTGTTGGTGGTGGCATGTCCACATGCGTTGTCTGTTTTCGAAGCGATCACATGCCAAGTGGGTGGAACGCACAGAACGAGTATGCATAGACGCACGAGAATGTGGAGAAATTTCGATTGGGTCATAAATGGCCATCTCTATCAGTAGAATGGAGTTTTCTTAAGCCTGTATGAGGTGACCCTCGCGTATTCGGGAGCAGAATGCGATTGGGCCTGCACTCGGGCCTTGCAAGCTGCGAGTACCCTCAAAGAGCGTGTAGTTATAGACGAAATACAGCACGCTAGAGAATAACTGATCTCCAACTTACCTCACGGAGATCTGTGTTCAACTGATTTTCCGCGTGGGGGTCGAGTGACACCTACGTTGTACCAACGACTACTATTTTAGATATCGGTGACAATTAATTGATTTTTGACGTCATTTCTCATGTAGACCCTGATAAATCATTCGAAGTACCACGTTTCTTCATTGACTAATAGCTCATCTCTACAGAACCCCCTCCCCCCCCCCCCCCCCCCCCCCCCCCCCCCCCCCCCCCCCCCCCCCCCCC